TTAAAAGGAATCATATACTAGGAGATAATTTAAAAAACATATTAAATCTCCTAAAATATGGAAATTACCAAAAAGAATAGAATCCTAGATAAAGTAGAAGATGTCACGAATATGGAAAAATTCTGTCTCGGAAAATAGAGGTGCGACCGCATGGGAAAAACTAGTGCGGTCGCATGGTTCTGCTGGTCAGCTCTCAATTCGTCCCTACACCTTTGTATGTGGCCGCATGGAGTTTAGCATGCGGTCGCATAGCTGTCCAATTTATGCTCCAAACCTAGTTTTCAGCTTCTTGTTCCCAGGTGTTTCAACCCTCATTCCCTTGACGAAATTTGATCTCAACCTTGTACTCTTCTACGTTTGGAACTCCACAACTTTGATCAACCACTTGGCCAACTATATCACTCCCAATTTGCCCCCAATTTAGGTCGATTCTTGGCCTCGATCTTCTCCCAACAATCAATGAATTCTTAGAAATTGATGGCACACCTGGGATCATATCAAGCACACATAGTCAATTTTATTGTTAAAGAAGGGTTGAAAGAGTTTAATCCATCTATAGAAAGTATTCGCACTGCGCTCAAATATTTTCAATCATCTCCTTCCCGGTTGACGAAATTTAAATGTTGTATTGAAAGGGAAAAAATTGCATGCACAAAACTTGCTATTTTAGATGTTCTTACTAGATGAAATTCAACATTCTTAATGTTGGACAATACATTGAATTTTGAGAAAGCTGTTGAAAGAATGGAGGAAGATGATGTAGTTTATTGTAAATATTTTGATGAGAATGAAGGTGGAAAAGAAAAAGAGAGGCCACTACAAGTTACGACTAGGAGAAAGCTAGAAATTTTCTAAAAACCTTTTATGATATCACATTGAAGTTTAGTGCTTCGCTGAGTGTTGCTTCCAATATTTACTTCCACAAAGTTTGTAAAATCGAGAAATTTTGAAGAAAATTGGTGAGAAGCAAGATTATTTGCTAAGTAGTATAGCAAATAGCATGAAGATTAATTTTGACAAGTATTGGGGTAAAGTTGATAAAATGAACAAGATTTTGATTGTAGTAGTCATGCTTGATCCTAGATATAAGTTGTGTTGTACATTGCATTGGAATCTTATATGACAGTGTTAAAGTTGAAGCCACAAAAAATGAGGTCATGAAATTATTGTATGCTTTGTATAACCAACATAAGGGATGACATCATTCAAAAAATGGACCTAGTGGAAGTGGAAGTGGGGGCGATGAATCTAATGATGGAATCACTTTGTTGGAGGGTTCGAATGATGATGATGATGATGACGACGACTGGGATGATTGCAATTTTGATTTTGGGTACAAGAAATTGAAAACTACCAAAATGAATTTTTCTAGAAAAGATGAGGT